AGTAAAGTCTATTCTTGGCTCAAGGTGGAATCAGGAGCCCTTCTTTTCTGACTGACAGCTGACACCTACCTGATTCCTCGAAGTTTGGCTCTGTTGTCGTGCCGGTCAATGAGATTGTGCAGGATCTCCAGGACCAACTGGCGCAGTTCGCAGTCCTCCATGAGGGAGGTGGAGAGCAGGGGGTCCAGGAAGGGTGCCGAGAGCACCGAGGCGATGCTCTTCGCGTTGTAGCCGGAGGTCACCTGCCAAGGAGCGGTCCCGAGTTAGCCCTCGCCGTCAGCACCGGCGGCTGCTTGAATGAGCCCAAACGCTACTCAAGCCACAAAGGAGCCCAGGATTCAAAAATACAGCGTAGTCCTCAACTTACATCCCCAAGATTTATGCTGCTAAGCGAAGACAGTTTAGTGAATTATGCTCCATTTTAACGACCTTTTTCAATGGTTAGGAACGCTTAATAGTTGATAAGTTAGAGACACGGTTGTTAAGTTAATCCAGCTTCCCCCTCGATTTCGTTCGTCAGACGGTCGCACAAGGGGATCACGTGACCCCGGGCCCCTGTGACCGTCATAAGTAGGAGCATCTGAATTTTGATCACTGCAAAGGTTGCAACGGCGAATAGCTGTCAAAAGTCACTTTTTTCAGGGTCTGTTCTAACTTTCAGCAGTCGCTAAACGAACAATTAGTAAGTCGAGGACTACTTGGGAGAGGACAGGGACGCCAACTGGAGGGGTTTCATCCCCACTACAGGGCCTTTGTCACCCAGGCGTTCCAAAGGTTACATCAGAAATCGACAGCTGCCACCTGCAAGGCCAGGGGATGCTGGGAGCTGTAGTCCGCGATCAGGAAATCCACCTGATGGTGTGATCCGCCACCCATTTATCCAACACAAGGAGCCCCCTGCAAGCTTTCCGGAGAGGAAGGTGCTCATAAGCAGAAGGGCTGGGGAGGGAAGACAGGATACAACAGGGGTCTTCAAACTTGGCAACTTTAAGACTTGTGGACTTCAACTCCCAGAATTCCTCAGCCAGGCACACGTGCCTGGCTGAGGAATTCTGGGAGTTGAAGTCCACAAGTCATCAAAGGGTCATAGTTCCCTCATGCTGGCTGAGGAATTCTGGGAGTTGAAGTCCACAAGTCATAAAATGCAGCAAGGCTCACTTAACCAATGTTTCACTTAGCAACAGACGTTTTGGGCTCAGTTGCGGTCATAAGCCGAGGACTCCCTGTACAACTGCCAGAATTCCCTGGCCAGCATGCATTCTGGGAGTTGAAGTCCACACGTCTTAAAGTTGCCAGGTTTGGAGATCTCTGCTCCAAATATGAAAGGAGTAGATGATTAATCGGAAATTTCTAACGAGTCTAAAGTTCTGTAGGAGAAGCCAGCTGGAAGTCATAAACTCAGACAACATCGGATGTTTTTGCATTTGACAAGAGAGGGAAATGTAGCTACCTTTTACCTTTTGCTTTTAGAGTTAGATGATGCTGGGAGGGGGGGATGTTAACGAGAGTCTAGCTAGACATAACAACACTAAACCTAGCTTGAGAATCAAGGTTATTGAAATAAGAGATGATAAGAATCGGTGGGCTGGAGAGCTGGAGAGGAAGCCCGAACTTCAAGCTAATTGGGGAACGTGATTTATGATGGTTAATTGGAAGAGGGAATTATGCTTTGATACTATGCGCTCAGGGAATTCAGTTTTTGGCTTCGATTTTGCACTGGCGATGTTATGCTGCTCAAAATAAAGATTCTTTAAGGTAAACAATGCCTCGAAGTACTTTTGAAGAGTTCCATTTGTCGGAACCATGACAGGGGTGTTGAGAGCGATAGGGGAGGGGGAATCTGCTTCAAGGACAGGGCATAAAAGGGTGTTTTACATCCCTTTAAGGCGTGGCTTGAAGTCTCCTGCGTGAGCTTCAGTCCACCAAGCCTTTGCAAACGCTTCTTTCCAAATAAAGCTTTGTTCCTGGAATTCCAAGTTGAGTTTGTTTGTTTTGGGATATTGAGCCACATTCCAAACAAACAGGAGGGAAGCTCTGTTATTAGGGGAGATCTGGAAATGCCACCCCTGAAATTCGGCACCTTAGCCCGCAGACCCCCATCCCAGAATTCCTCCTTACCATCAGCAATGACCGCAGCAGCATGATTTGGATCCTCCGGGTTCCCAAATCCCTGCGAGACCGGAAAGAGCAGAGAAAGTATTATATTCTGGAAGGAAACAGGGAAAAGGGTTCAGGGCAGGAGCGATGCTGGGGCTGCCCCCAAAGCCAGCAGCATCCCTGGCTGGAAAGCCATCCACTGGGACGAGATGCCATCGATCTGAGGCGCCTGACCTCAACGGCCCCACCGCCCCTCTCCCACTCTGGAAGACTTTTTAAAAAGTTCTCCAAGAGAGAATTCGCAGAAGCAAAATACACCCAGAAGGGCCTGGTTTCAAAAGCCAGCTGTCAATATTTCAGAGCAGGGAGGAGGGGCTGCAGAGAGGAGGAGGATTGTGGGGTCTCTGGTAATCTCTGAGCTGGGTGGTCTCCTTGCAGATGTTTCATTACCCAGCTAGGGAACATCTTCAGTGCTGGAAGGGAGTTGGGTTTCTGAGGAGAAAGAAGGAGGAGGAGGAGGAGGAGGAGGAGGACTGTGGGATCCTTGCTGCTCTCTGAGCTTGACTGTTTCCTTGCAGACATTTGATTACCTAATTAGATAATATCATCAGTGCTAGAAGGGAGTGGGGTTTGCACATTCTAGCACTGATAATGTTACCTAGTTGGGTCATGAAATGTCTGCAAGAAAACCAGCCAGCTCAGAGAGCACCAAGGATCCCACAGTCCTCCTCCTCCTCCTCCTCCCAAACCCTTCTAGCACTGTTGATGTTACCTAGTTGGGTCATGAAACGTCTGCAAGAAAACTACCAAGCTCAGAGAACACCAAGGACCCCACAGTTGTCCTCCTCCTGCTCCTCCTCCTCCTGCTCCTCCTCCTCCTGCTCCTCCTGCTCCTCCTCTCTGCACACCCCATTCCATTCTAGCACTGATGATGTTACCTAGTTGGGTCATGAAACGTCTACAAGAAAACTACCCAGCTCAGAGAGCACCAAGGACCCTCATTTCAACCCTGAGCGACAAAGATCCTCCTATCTTAGTCCAGGCACCCTAAGAATTCATACTAACAGCTGTGCTCTTAATAGCACCTAGCAACAGCACTTAAGACTTATATATCGCTCCATGGTGCTTTACAGCCCTCTCTAAGTGGTTTACAAATGTCAGCATTTGGCCCCAACATCCTGGGTCCTCATTTTACTGACTTCAGAAGGACGGAAGGCTGAGTCAACCTTGAGATGATCGGGACCGAACTGCTGGCAGTGGGCAGAATTAGCCTGCAATACTGCATTCTAACCACTGTGCACCATGGATGGAAGGAAGGGAGGGAAGGAGGGAAGAGAGGGGATAAGGAGGNGAGGAGGAGGAAGAGGAAGAGGAAGAGGAAGAGGAAGAGGAGGAGGAGGACTTTGGGGTCCCTGGTGATCTCTGAGCTGGGTGGTCTCCTTGCAGATGTTTCATTACCCAACTAGGGAACATCATCAGTGCTGGAAGGGAGTTGGGTTTCTGGAGAGAAGGAGGAAGAGGAGGAGGAGGAGGAGGAGGAGGAGGAGGAGGAGGAGGACGGCGGCGACGACGACGACGACGACGACTGTGGGATCCTTGGTGCTCTCTGAGCTTGACTGTTTCCTTGCAGACATTTGATTACCCAATTAGATAATATCATCAGTGCTAGAAGGGAGTGGGGTTTGCACCTTCTAGCACTGATAATGTTACCTAGTTGGGTCATGAAATGTCTGCAAGAAAACCAGCCAGCTCAGAGAGCACCAAGGATCCCACAGTCCTCCTCCTCGTCGTCCTCTCTACACACCCCATTCCATTCTAGCACTGATGATGTTACCTAGTTGGGTCATGAAACGTCTGCAAGAAAACTACCCAGCTCAGAGAGCACCAAGGACCCTCATTTCAACCCTGAGCTACAAAGATCCTCCTATCTTAGTCCAGGCACCCTAAGAATTCATATTAACAGCTGTGCTCTTAATAGCACTTTAGCAACAGCACTTAAGACTTATATACCGCTCCACGGTGCTTTACAGCCCTCTCTAAGTGGTTTACAAATGTCAGCATCTTGGCCCCAACGTCCTGGGTCCTCATTTTACCGACCTCGGAAGGACGGAAGGCTGAGTCGACCTTGAGCCGGTCAGGATCAAACTGCTGGCAGTGGGCAGAATTAGCCTGCAATACTGCATTCTAACCACTGTGCACCATGGATGGAAGGGAGGGAGGGAAGGAGGGAAGAGGGGATAAGGAGGAGGAGGGAGGAAGGAAGGAAGGAAGGAAGGAAGGAAGGAAGGAAGGAAGGAAGGAAGGAAGGAAGGAAGGAAGGAAGGAAGGGCAATAGCAACAGCACTTAGACTTATATACCGCTTCACAGTGCTTTACAGCCCTCTCTAAGCGGTTTACCAATATCAGCCTGTTGCCCCCCAACAATCTGGGTCCTCATTTTACCGACCTCGGAAGGACGGAAGGCTGAGTCGACCTTGAGCCAGTCAGGATCGAACTGCTGGCAGTGGGCAGAGTCAGCCTGCAATGCTGCCTTCTAACCCCTGGGCCACCACGGCTCCTACTCTTATTAATACCCGCTTGCAGAAAGAAAAACAGAACACAAACGGGGGACACGCACCCAAGCTCGCTGGTGTCCAAGTTCTGGGAGGTGACCCCAAAGACGGGGACTTTCCCCATGATAAACATCATGATCTCCGACCGCTGGTAATCGGGCAGGTTGCTTCCGAAGAAACCTACGGGGGGAACGAAAAACGAAGGGAGGGTGAAACCCTTCCAGCCATTCCTAAGACCGGGAATGCAAGAATAATGGGCAGGAATTTCCCCACCTCTTGTGAAGTCCTTGGACCAATTTTTAAAAACAATTCCTTAAAAAACGGTCTCTCAGCCTTGGCCATTTTAAGATGAGTGGACTTCAACTCCCAGAATTCCCCAGCCAGCGACGCTGGCTGGGGAATTCTGGGAGTTGCAGTCCACCCATCTTAAAGTGATTGAGAAAACTCTGCTTACCCTTTCAACAATCGCTTGAAAACTGTCTTTTGGTCATTCCCCCCCCCTTCTGTGGATTCCTGCATTTTTTTTATTTTTATGTACCACTTTGGTAACAGAGGGCCTTGACATTTTAATCTCGTCTTCCTTATTTTGATTGGTCTTCCTGTTAACCGTTTGCTCTAATATAGTTTATAGCTGTTGGGCTAATCCAGGGGTAGGCCACCTTGGCTCTTTTATGACTCGTGGACTTCAACTCCCAGAATTCCTGAGCCAGCCATGCTGAGGGGAAAGGGAGAGATTTCCAAGCTGAGCCATGTTGGCTGAGGAATTCTGGGAGTTGAAGTCCACCAGTCATGAAGGGGCCAAAGTTTCCCTCATGCTGGCTCAGGAATTCTGGGAGTTGAAGTCCACGAGTCATAAAGCGACCTAGGCCTAGAGCAGGGGTAGTCAACCTTGGCTCTTTTATGACTGGTGGACTTCAACTCCCAGAATTCCTGAGCCAGCCATGCTGAGGGGAAAGAGAGAGGTTTCCAAGCTGAGCCATGCTGGCTCAGGAATTCTGGGAGTTGAAGTCCACGAGTCATAAAACAGCCAAGGCCTAGAGCAGGGGTAGGCAACCTTGGCTCTTTTATGACTCGTGGACTTCAACTCCCAGAATTCCTGAGCCAGCCATGCTGAGGGGAAAGGGAGGGGTTTCCAAGTTGAGCCATGCTGGCTCAGGAATTCTGGGAGTTGAATTCCACCAGTCATAAAAGAGCCAAGGTGGCCTACCTCTGAACTAATCAATTGCAAATTGATTTAGTACCATAGTTTAAAATTTGGGGGAGGGGGGAAAGGCTGTTTCCCAAGTGGTGGGAAACTAATATTCTTGTAACCTGTTAATATTCAACTGGGAGGGGGGGAATAAGATATGTGTATGAATTAGTTTTTTTAATGCACTTTTATATCTTTTGTTTTATTCGTTTGAGGGGTTTTTGCCTATTTTTTTGGAAAGTTTTTTATTTGTATTATGTTTTATTTTTTGAATAAAATAAAAATAGAAGGCTGGGGGAAAAAACCTGTTTCTCAAACTTAGCTGGGGAATTCTGGGAGTTGAAGCCCCCACCCATCTTAAAGTTGACATGATTGAGAAACACCCCTTAAAAATCAGGAAATGAATGCCAGGCCATCCCTGGACCCTTCCTAGTTCCTCCTAATCCAGAGTTACCCGTAAGAGCGTTATCAGGAAATGCTGCTGTCAAGTCTGCTAACATTGGATGTTATTGCTTGACATAAGTGAAGAAGCAAACATATCTATTTAGTCTACATATTGCCTCAAGAGCAAAAGCAGGCATTGTGGGCCAGATGGGGGGGGAGGAATGCCTGTGAATAACTACATTATCTTAGCATAGCTCAGCCAAGGTCAAAGCAGCAGCAGTTTGTAATAACAGATGAGAGGAGAAGAAGATTCACACCTCTGTTTAATTGGAGCATATGATTGACGACTGTGAAAGGAGGGAGGGAGTTGTGCTTGTCGCGAGAGCTAGGATGGGGGGGTGTTTCAGTCTTTGGCTTTACTTCGTTCGTGCCGGATTATGTAACTCATTAAAGGATTCTTTAAGGTAATTATGCCTAAAAGTTCTCTGAAAAGTTATTTCTTTCGGAACCTGACAGCTGCCTTAGAAATAGTTTTTTAAAAATCCAAATAAGAAACTAGAAATAGACTCTTAATGATAGCTTGTGTGCCTTGTTTGCGTATAAGCTGGAGCTGCATCTGATTCAGTCTGTAAGTCAATATTTTTGTCACATACCCCCCCCCCCCCAAAAAAAAGAGGCACGGCTTAAATTTTATGGAAGGGGAGACGTATTAACTGTGGGTGCCCAAGGAAATGGGGGAACGGCTGCAAGAGGAAGGGGAAGGGGCTGTACCCTGCACGGATTCCCTTCTACGTAGACCAGGTTTCAAGGTTTGGAGATGGTTTGCAGAATTGGGTTGCTGGAATTGGGTATGTCTAGTTTAAGGAAGAGAAGGACGAGGGGAGAAACGATAGCAGTCTTCCAATATCTCAGGGGCTGCCTCCAAAAAGAGGGAGTCAAGCTATTCTCCAAAGCGCCTGAAGGCAGGACAAGAAGCAACGGGTGGAAACTCATCAAGGAGAGAAGCAACCTGGAACTAAGGAGAAACTTCCTGACAGTTGGAACAATTAACCAGTGGAACAACCTGCCTCCAGAAGCGGTGAATGCTCCAACACTGGAAGTTTTGATGAAGAGACTGGACAGCCATTTGTCCGAAATGGTATATCGCAGTGGTGGCGAACCTATGGCACGGGTGCCAGAGGCGGCACTCAGAGCCCTCTCTGTGGGCATACGTGCCATTGCCCCAGCCTTGCCTCCCCCCGCGACCCCTTCCTCTCCAGCAGCCCCCCTGAAGGAGAGTCACCCCCGAGTGTGGCCCACACGGAGCAGCGCAGCCAAGGACATGGCAGCCAGGCAGCGTAGACAAGACTCTGCCCTCACGCCCCATCATGCACAGTTGATGCTNAGATTTAAGGAGACGCTGTGGGAAGAGGCATTTGTCAGGAACAAATGCTGAATCCTTGGAGTTTTGTGTGTGTTGTTGCTGATCTCTTGTTCTGTGACTTCTGCTTGGAAACCCGGAAACTCTGACCCTTGGACTGGCTGACAACGTTGCTTGGATGTTCAAAGATCTCAGACTGTATTTTGGATTCCCTTCAGAAACCGCTCAGGCAAGTGTGTATTCACACAGACTGGTTAGGTTTATGATGTATGTGTCATTCCTTGTTATCTCCGTGGCCTTGAGTAAATTCCTCTCCTAATCAAACTGTATGTGAAACTCCTTGCAGCCAGAGGGGTGTGTGTCTTCCTTTGTTTGGAGGCTGGCCAGAAATGTGGGAGCATTTGGGGAAAATTTGGAGCAATTAAAGGACGGTTTGAATTGCCAGCTGACTGCATTGCCTCTGTGCTGTGCCCTGGGTCATCACACATCCCTACAACCAACCAGCTCTCACAACCGCACGCCGGGCGGACCTGACGGGACTCACCGATGGATCCTTTGGCCGCGATGGCCACGGCCTCCAGCAGGACCTGGATGATCCCAGCTCGGACGCGGGGAGAATCTCGCCTGCAGCTGTCCAGGTGTGCCAGGATCTCCTGTATCACGTGGTGTGAGTATTGGGCCTGGGAAGGAAAAGGAAGGAGGCACAAGATTGGACCTGTTCCAGTGTAGTAGTCAAGTCACTGCCCTCCCGCTCCAGAATTTTTGCCCCTCTTGAGTTCAAACGAGAAACAGGAGTCGTAGAACAGGTTTGAGTGCATCCCAAAAAAGCAGAGGAACAGCTGGAAAGTCAAAGGAAGAATCTCTAAAACAGCGTTGGTCACCCGTGGTGACTCGAAGATGTGTGGGCTTCAATTCCCAGAATTCCCCAGCCAGCAAGGGAAGACTTACTTGGATGGAGTACATGATGATCTTGAAGCAATGGACGGCAAATTCATTCGGGTCCCAGAGTTTGTGATGGCCTAAATGCCTGTAAAAAACAAATGATTTGTTTATCGGTGCTACGGTGGGCACTGAGTATGCTACCTAGTTGGTTAATGAAAACATCTGCAAGAAAACCACCAAGCTGAGAGAGCACCAAGGACTCCATAGGCCTCTTCTTCTTCCTCCTCCTCCCCCTCCTCTTCCTCCTCCTCCTCTCCATGAACCCCACCCCCTTCTAGCACTGATGATGTTCCCTAGTTGGGTAATGAAAACGTCTGGAAGAAAACCACCAAGCTGAGAGAGCACCAAGGACTCCATAGGCCTCTTCTTCTTCTTC